TGTTTAAGTGAAGTCTGTGTATAAATTCGCTCCCGGGCGAATGTCGACTTTAAGTATTTTTATACGTAAGAATGGCTTTGACCCCCCCATCCCTCCGACGTAAGGCCATGTAGAGATTTTCCAAACTCCCCTCCCCTAAAAACCCTTATGTAATTAATGAATGGCCCCTAACCTAACGCACCAAAGACTTATACACTGACCACTACGCTACGCTCACATGGGAGTGCATAACGTAAAATGTATATTAAAGCTGCAACCGTTGGGCCAACCGTGGCCCAGAGTTCGGCCGACCAAAATAATGTAAGTCAATTAAACTGCGTTTCACAAAGTTTTGCCAACCGTCGGGCCAACCGTGGCCCAGAGTTCGCCCGACCGTTTAAGTCAATGAAACTGCGTATCTAGAGTTTTGCCAACTATGGCCCAGAGTTTGGACGACCAAAAAACTATAAGTCAATTATACTGCTTTTCTTGAGTTTTTCTAACCGTCGGGCCAACCGTGGCCCAGAGTTCGGCCAACCGGAACCGAAGGTTGGTTAAACTCTGCACGTAATGGTTAACTTGCAAAGTCGGGCCAACTGTGGGACAGTGGGGCAAAAGTGGTTTGTCGTGGACAAATCAGTCTAGAGGTTACAAATATTATTAGTTTTTAATAATTTTTCTTTAAATGAAAACTTATAAAATTGCGCATTGATCTGTGGTCGTAGAATTTTGAAAATTGTTAACAATTTTTATTTATTTAACAATAAATATAAAAAAAGAGAGAAAAAAAATTGTATTCAAGTATATTTTTTATTAAAATGCATTTCTATTCATCTATGTTACAATAATTGAAAAAAAAGTTTCAGATAAACAATATTTATAAGTGTAGACTAAATAAAAAATTTATTTAATTAGTTATAAACAAATAAATTTACGACACGTACTTTTTAAGACAAATTAAAGTTTTTATGTTTTTAACACAACGTTTTTTTAAATAAAATACAAAGATCTCATTATTTATAAGTACTACTCGTATAAAATAATTATTTAATAAAAATTTGTTTAAAAAATGTTAGTTAACAAATGCATAAAACAGTCAATTTGAAAGATAAAGGGTTCGTTTTAATTCACATTATTTACCAAGGAACAAAAGTTATTATAAATACATTTTATGGATATTTTCTGCAAGATTCCAATATTATTTTATAAACAATAGTTAATTAACAAATGAATAAAAATGTCAATTTCGAAAATAAGTCAAGATATCAGATTTGATTATTTTATATGGAAACAAGTCATAATTTGATAAATTGCATTCTTCAGTTTGTTTATTATTTTATAAACAATAATTAGTTAACAATCACATATCTTTCGTAATTATTACCACACTGAGAGAAATTCCTGGTTCATACAACCAAATTTTCGTGGTGAAAAACGTCTTTGACTACGATTCAAGTTGTTCGAACATGACTGAACATAGTTGTCTTGACGATAAAACATGGTTAATATAAATTTAATTCCTGGTTATAGTAACCAGGATCATGGTTGACACTGAAATTGTGGATGGGAATGTAAAGCTATAACAGGAAACAATATGTTATCTATGATTAAGAGGTTAAAATTATATATTTTTTCATCTTCTTATTTTAGAATTTATTTTCACAATACTTATAAATAATGTAGTCCATCCTTTGTTTTCATAAAAATAATTTTAAAAATCGTTAAAAACATATAGGTTATATGAAATCATTAATTGGATTTATCTAATTAATTGTCAACAATACTGTCACTAAAATAAGTAAAAAGATTTACATCAACAGCATCATATTCACTTTTACTTTACACACTTTTGTTAATAAGAAGAAAGATGGAAAACCATAAAATACTTTAAAATAAAAACTTGATGAGTGCATTCTACGTTGTGTTAAAAGTCAAACTATAGCAGAAAGTATAAAGACGTACTGCGCTTGCTCCCGACTACTGAAATCTAACAAATTGACTGGTTACTACAACCAGGTTTCATTTTCCTACAACTTTTCACTAAAGTTGTGCTATAACATGTGTTCGTAGTTGAAGACAAATTTCACCACAGATCATGGTTGTCACAACTAGGATTGTTTTTTTTGGCAATTTTAGTTAACATAACTAAATTTCTGGTTACTGTAACCAGAAAACATGTTACAAAGACAATTTTAAGTTGGTCCAGTAACTGCATTTCATTAACCACTTTTTTCTGGTTGTATTAACTTGGGTCCATTTCTCTCAGTGCACCCAGAGACAATTTATTTGGTTTATATCGAAATTTACTTAAATTTTGTTAAATTGCAGCACCTACAATTGTTTAAAATGATGATAATAATTTTGTTAAAATTCTTAATTAACAAATACGTAAGTTTACTAATTTTAAAACTACGAAGTTCGTTTTAATTTATATTATGCGTTAGTAAACTAAAGCTCTTAGCTTAATTTTTTAACTGATTTTTTTGAAAAGCTGTTATAAAAATTTTAAGGGCTTTATGATGTACAAAACCCGATCAGCCATTTTTAATTTTGGAAAAAAAGGGTTAACAAACTGTATGATTTTTTTTAAGGTAAATTCAAAAATTGTTGTAAATATGCAGTTAAATAAATAAAAATTTAATTAAAAAAATAAATTAAAAATAACTTTTGTTCATTAGTATATAATGTGAATTAAAACGAACCCTTTATCTTCCAAATTGACATTTTTATTTATTTGTTAATTAACTATTGTTTATAAAATAATATTGGAATCTTGCAGAACATGTCCATAAAATGTATTTATAATAACTTTTGTTCATTAGTAAATAATGTGAATTAAAACGAACCCTTTATCTTTCAAATTGACTGTTTTATGCATTTGTTAACTAACATTTTTTAAACAAATTTTTATTAAATAATTATTTTTTACGAGTAGTACTTATAAATAATAAAATCCTTGTATTTTCTTAAAAAAACATTGTGTTAAAAACATAAATACTTTAATTTGTCTTAAAAAAGTACGTGTCGTAAATTTATTTGTTTGTAACTAATTAAATAAATTTTTTATTTAGTCTACACTTATAAATATTGTTTATTTAAAACTCCTTTTTCAATTATTGTAACATAGATGAATAGAAATGCATTTTAATAAAAAATATACTTGAATACAATTTCTTTTCTCTCTTTTTTTCATATTTATTGTTAAATAAAAAAAAATTGTTAACAATTTTCAAAATTCTACGACCACAGATCGATGCGCAATTTTATAAGTTTTCATTAAAAAAAAAATTATTAAAAACGAATAATATTTGTAACCTCTAGACTGATTTGTCCACGACAAACCACTTTTGCCCCACTGTGATGTGGGCACTAGTACTTGCCAAAGTTGGGCAAACTCTGGCAAGCAAAACTTCGCTTGCCAAAGTTGGGTCAACCTTCAAACTCTGGCGGCCAACCCAAATTCGCACCTGGGAATATATAAAATATAGCACAAAATAAACAAAAATTATAAATCAAATATAAATTAAATAATTTAAATAAAAAACATCCATATAAAAATTACAATTCAAAACTTTTCGGCCCTGAATTTCATGGCACTCACACAGTCACAACTCTCACTGATATAATCCCTTCTACTTCTACCTGGCGAGTTTCGGCCGTACATTTGAACTTTGAGTGGTAAAACTCGATTGAACAGTGAAAAAAAATTGTTTTGCTTGTCATTTTTTTTCTTTTGAGTATAATTTAATTTTCTTTCTTGGATCTTGTAGATGGTCTTGTCCTCTTCAAAATCCAGTTTGAAATTTGAAAAAATATTTAAAATTATAAAAAAAGGGGATGATTTTCTGAAAATAAATAAGATTTTCAAGCAAAACAATTTTTTTTCACTATTCAATCGAGTTTTACCACTCAAAGTTCAAATGTGCGTAACTTCTTTAAATTTAGCTTTTTTGAAAAATAAAAAAATACGTGTCTCTTTGTTTTTCATGTACAATAACATATTTTAGCGACAGCTAAATCTATAACTTGAAGTTAGTCGACCTGCCTGATTTGAAATGGATTCAGTCCTTATAATAATTAGTTTCCCTTGAGGAACATCTTTTTTTGGTATATAGAGTAATTCTCCGGTTACAGATTTGTCAACAAAAGTCCAACTGAACTATTATATACGTATATATACATATATTAGAACTCCAGAAGCAATGCTTAAAATTATACAATGAAAAGGCAAGAACAAAAGTAAAGGTAATAAGAAAATTCTCTTTCTCTCTCTTTTTTTCTCCTTTATTCCCTCTTCTTTTGAAATTTTACAGATTTGATATTAAAACGCCAACGAAAAAGGTTTGGGGTCATTTTATGAAAAGTCTCTCCTTCGAAATTTTTATTAAAACCATTCCATGCGCCAGTGTCGTGAGAATTAATTGAAGTCATTTTCTTCGCCAGTCTCTCTCAACATATATAGCATAAAAGGCGAAAATGACTTAAATACTAATGGACAAAGAAATGAGAATCTTTCTTTTATAAAGAAAAATTTTTTAAAATTATTATATACCATCTTAATGAACATGTCTATTTTTTTAATGACTAAAATATAATCTAATTTAACTTAAAAGTCATTTTTATTAAATACCTTTTTTATCCTTTTTTCTTTTCTTCTTCTTTACTTTTTATCGTTTTTAATTTACGATCGCTTTTAAATTTTATGTTGCTAAATATTTCTTTAGAGTTTTTAATTTATTAAAATTAAATCCATTGGATTAATTCTTTTATTAATTTATGGTTTTTTTTGATTGGATATAAATTTTTGAGTGTTTAAATCTATTTAAAAGATGTTAAATCTATTAAATAGTCCTTTTTTCATTAATTTGTGGCTATTTCTATTTTTAATTGATTAGAAATTTTTTAGTGAATTAATCTATTAAATAGACTACTCTCTTGAGAGAGAGAAAGAGAGAGAGAGATTTAGGAAAGTTATCCTCGTGAAACGTATTTTGAAACGTATCCTGAATATTTGATCTTACCACGTGACAGATCCAAGGATGTGATTTTCCCTTGTAGAGGTATGTCATTCGAGCTGGATTCGGCCCTGGAATCCCAGAATCGTATCCTCTTGTCAAAGTGGCCACTGATTATTGTCGATCCAGATCCATCGGACGTGACGAGATCGTTACAACTCGAACCAGCGAATTTCGTTTCTATACCTGAAAACAAAATTCCAACTTTGTATCATTTATTCGAGTAGAATATTTTATTACAGTCAAAACATTTTACAAATTATATTTAATAAAATTAATTTCCGTTTGGATCATAAATGGGTGATTTTCAAATATAACTGTCATATTTGCATGACCCCATAGATAAATAACTAAAAAGATTATTTTTTTTGCCAATCACTTCATAAATCACTTAATGGATGGAAGTCTCTTCTTAAATATATTTAATATTCAGTTCATTAACTAATCATTATCATAGTTAAAATTAAAAAAATAGGGTAAAATTGTCAGGTCCGTGGCAATCGTTTTTTTTAAATTTTGTTCTGAAATTGTTACGTGATCAAATATTGAGAATATATTTTGAGTACTTTGTAGGTCACATCTAACTAGATGTTTTACATATGAAAATATTTTTATTGTAATGATATTCTACGTACACGAGCACTTTTTTTATGTTTTAAATTGTTAATTACTTTGTACCTTACACATGTTAACGAAATCGTGATTTTATTACTCAATTTTATTTTTAATTGACTTCTACTTGCATTATTTTGAAGTGCGAACATTGAAAAGAAAATATTTATTCGATTATTTATTTATTTACGTGTTGTAACTGTGAAACACATGTCAGGACCGTGGCACAATGTCGTAAAATTAATTTACTATAATAAATATTAATTTAAATTTTATTTAAAAATTACTTAAACATTTTTTTTCTATACATTTAAATTTTAGAAATTTAATTGATTAGGGTAAGTCCGGGGGAGATGGCCATAGCTTTTTATAGTTCTGTAAAAATTATAAAAAGGCGATTTATGTCTAAACTTTTATTGATAACACGTGCAACACATAAAATGTGCACTAAGTTTTGACTTTAGTTTCTAAAAGTACTTATCGAAACTAGCAAAAACCTATTTCACTTTTGCTAGATTAGCTTGGATTTGAATTTTATCGAAATATGAATTTATTTTTAATTTTCACATTTTTCAGTTTTCTGATACGGGCGTGTGAGAACACTGGTTATTAAAAGTTTATTAAAAAAATTCGCAATGGTCATAATTTAAAAAGCAATAATCCCTCTTTAATTCCAGACAAAAAAAAAATTTGGTCGAAAATTGTTCCAGTTGCGATTTTTTTTTTGACTTTTTGACATTTTTCGGTTTTTTGAAACGGGCGGGTGAGAACGCTGGCTATTAAAAGATTATAAAAAAATTCGCAATGGTCACCATTTGAAGAGCAATAATTCCTCCTTAATTTCTGACATTGAAAGAAAACTTAGTCAAAAATTGTTCAATTTATGAATTTTTTTTGGTACTTTTTCAAATTTTTCGGTTTTTCTAATACGAGCGGGTGGGAATGCTGGCTATTAAAAGTTTATTTAAAAAAATTTGAAATGGTCATAATTTTAAAAGCAATAATACCTCTTTAATTTCTGAAAAAAATTTGTTTAAAAATTGTTAGAGTTATGAATTTTTTTTACTTTTTTTGAATTTTAGGTTTTCTGATAACGGAAGTGGGAAAAGTGACTATTAAAAATTTAAAAAGTGAATTCGTAATGGTCACATTTTGAAGAGCAATAATTCCTTTTTAATTTCTGACAAAGAAAAAAAAATTTGGTCAAAAATTGTTCCAGTTATGAATATCTTTTGCTACGGGCGGGTGGGAACGCTGGCTATTGAAAGTTTATTAAAAAAATTCACAATGGTCAAATTTTAAAAAGCAATAATTCTTTTTTAATTTCTGACAAAGAAAAAAAAATTTGGTAGAAAATTATTCGTGTTATATATTTATTTCTGTACATTTGTATACCTGCGGTCCTGCCGAACCGCAGGTTTTGATTTTTTTTGACGTTTTTCGAAACCAAATATTTCGAATCAAATTTTTTTATTCTAGACTATACTATATAGTACTGTAATATACTGTACTATACGATTTTAAACAATTTATTTATTTAAGAACTGTCATAAAATTATTATTTATAAATTATTTAGAGAATGCTTTTACTCGAAAATTAAAAAATAATGGAATTGTGGAAGAGTTGCTTTTGTAGTTTTTTTTAAATAATTGAAGTTCAGAAGGTTTTATAATTAAAAATGTTAATTCTTGTTGGAAAATAATGATGATTAAATATTTATTAAAAAAAATTAATGATGATGGCGCCACTAGCGAATTCCAAACCCCTTGGCGGGAAATTTAAATTTTTATTTTTAAACTTTCAAGTGGGTTAGGAGGAGTGCTCTGTTTTACCGACAGGGTTCAACGATCAACGATAGATGGCGCCACTAGCGAATTCCAATCCCCTTGGCGGGAAATTTAAAATTTTATTTTTAAACTTTCAAGTCCACCATTTTGCTTTACCGACAGAGTTCAAGGATAAACCAATAGATGGCGCCACTTTATTTTTTAAATTTCGCGGATGTTGCTTTCCACTATTTTGTTTTACCGACAGGGTTCAAGGTCAACCTAATAGATGGCGCCACAAAATTAGTGAAAAGATTTATAATTAATATATAATTTATAAGACTTTTTGAATTTCGCGGTCATTGCTCCCTACTATATTTTTCTACATAGTTTAAGGTCAACCTTATAGATGGGTCCACTAAAATTTAATTTTACAAGCGTTGCAAACTACTATCTTGATTTTTAAATTTCCCGGACCTTGCTTGTAAATAAAATAAGTTTAGAGTTCTACAATTAAAACTGATGTGATGTTTACTAATGCAATAAAAATTTATTGAATAAACAATAAGCTGTTTGAATTCAAATTAAATTACACCAGATCGGTAATGCAGATTTTTACTTTATCAGCAGTCGTTAAGGTAGGGATCTGACAAAACATTTTGACTCGATCGATAATGTAGGAATCTGTTTTACCAACCGAGTTAGTTTTAGGTTAGATCGCTAGATGGCGCCATTAAAATTTAATTTCACAGGTATTGCAGTCTACTATTTTTTGTTTTTAAACTTCCCGGGCATTCGTGTCCACCATTTTGTTTTTAAAACATAATAATGCAATAAATGGTGCGTGTTCTTGAGTATGAAATATGATAATAGTAAGTAAATAAAAATTATATAAATATTTTATACCATTTTGACATCACTTTAGCATGTTTATATTAAATAAATTATTCTTCTAATTTCTATTTTTCTAGAACCTTTTTTCCGAACTCTACAATAATATTTTTCTCTTGAATTTCTAGTTTACTAATATTATTTTTTCATAACATTACTAAACATAACCTTAAAATCTATTGTATTAAACATAACCTTAAAATCTATTTTATTAAACATAACCTTAAAATGTAAACCTTATTATCTAACGTAATACTAATGAAGGTATTTAATTAAATACAGTATTAATAACATTTCATACATTTATTACATTCAATATACAATATTTACACTTGTTTTATTTTAAATTCAATATGGTTGTATGGACCACCAATATACTTCAGCCGTAATTGTCCAGAACTAATAGCTTCTTGCATTTGGTCCAAGCATATTGAGTCATCAGTGAACATTGGTACAAATCTTGAAGGTAGGAATGTATTGAATTTTTTATCCACCTCAACGACGACCTTGACTCCATACTTGGTGTTAACGACCTGGATCTTTGTTATAGGATACTTATGTCCAGGAGTCAGCTCGGAAAGCGGCTTCGTAGGTAGGAAAGCATCCATGCGACCAATGGCGTTGATTTTTGTTAGATCCATCTTTTTTTAGAGATAATACTTTGTAATGTCACAAAACAGAATGAGCTTTACAGCTCAAGGAGCCTCTATTTATACCTGAATATCATGCATTACCCCCACCATTACTTTTACGCATGCGCATTACCCCCACCACTAATTCTACGCATGCACATTACCCCCACTTTTATTTATTAAGCCACGCCTACTTTGTGACGTCATAAGACAAGTCTAGACTAGTTTTAACATGTTTAATAGTTTTACACATGTGTAATAAAGATAATAGGATAGGAAAGGGTTAATTAAAGTAAACATTAATAGACATTTAATACATTTATTCATTATATAGGAAATTTTAACAATCATTATAAAAATCTTTCAATGTACAATCATTGTCAACTTCATCATTATTTTCTATATTATTTCGTAGTACATTCGATGGTTGTATCAACCAATTTCGTAGATTACATACATTTTTCACAGCACAGTTGCTAAAGCTACGTGTGTGATTTGTACATGTAGATGAACTTTCTACACTGAAACTTTTTAGCGACGGACATTTAAAATCATCTAAATTAAACACATTTGATGTATATTTTTCTAACCATTTTTGTTTTTCTAAACCTTTTACATAAATAGTAGGTGTACCTATTAATACTTCTTTTATTATAGGTTGTAATTTTTCATAAGATACGTCACCAGCAGCCCAATCGATACCATGATAATTATTTGTAAGCCATCGATTCTCACATTTGTATCTTGCAGGTAATCGGCTCCAGGCATATGGCGGCTCGAAGAGGTAGACCAATGGATGAGCATCTTGTTGAAGTGGTAGAATCGCCAACTCTTTGATGACAAACTCGTTGTAAGGTCTTTTGAAGCATTGAATATCTACGACGTACCCCATGGTATCTGAAATAGAATAATGGCTCAAGCCTTAGAGAGACGCTCTCTTTATAGCCTTTCCCCCACCACTCCAAATACCCCCACTACCGATGTCGTCTATGATTGGTCATTATTTCTACCAATCACGTTACTTTTTTAACAACGCCGCTGATTGGTGTATACTGTATAATGCGGTCGTGAATTATAAGGCAATATGCAGCTGTATTGGCTGGAAAATTTTTATTTGCTTCAAATTCTAATCGCACATCTACAGATGCTTGTTTTAGAAATTCGTTTTGTTTTGAGCAATCAATAACAGCCAATGGTGCATAATCTTTAAAGTTATTTCTAGTTAATAAAGGTTCAGATTCTTTTCCATAGTAGGATGGTTGAAAATTACAATACATATCATATAGTATGGAAAATTTGTTTTGAGTAAAATTTAAATTAAATTTTCCATAAGGATAGTACTGTGAGTTTAAGAAAAGTTAAACATTGTGAAGATTACAGGCATCAAATAAATTTGCATACCTTCCTTGATCTTCTTTTCGATTTGTTTGAAAACCAAGAATAACATATCGAGGTTTTTCAACTTGTGTTAAAGTTTTTACAGTCCACACATGCTTTTGAGTGGCAGGAATCATAGGATACTCATATAAATCCCATGATCTAAAACTCATTGTTATAAGTGAGTCTTTTTCAATGAATTTCAATAATTCAATTTTTTGGCGATCATTTACCATTAAATATGGAATCAACCATTCAACTTTATTAATTAAAATTTTAAATTCTTCACGCTCAGATTCTCCAATGTTTACTACAGCATTGAGATCAGTACGAGATCTTGTTAAAATAAGTTCATGTTTTGCATTTACAACAATCTTTCGATAGTCTTCAGCAAAACCGATAATAATCATACTTAGTGGAATATTTACATCAAAATATCCAGCATCATTTGTTACTCTACTATTATCATCACAAGGTAGATAACCAGCATTTTCCGAGTAAATCATTTGATTAGGTGTTTGAGAAATTAGATTTATCATTGTGGTTGTAATACCAACATTTTTAGAGCGATCAATTTCAACACCATTTAATTCATAACGAATCTCATTAAACAGGTAGGAAATACCATTGCTAATTAACTTTGTATTAGTTACAAGCGTATTGTTTGGCTTAACAATTTTGCCAGTGACGTGTAAAGTACTTTTAGAGGGAAAAATGTACAAGTCTTGATGTTGAACTGCAATTCGAATCTCGTCACTGTTATTAAATGCTGATGACACGTATGGTTGATGTGCATGAATCTCATAGTGTGCCACAGAATTATTAAATTTAACTGGACTTAGAATGTTTAAAATTTCTTCCATTTTTGTTACAACAACAAATAAAAAGTATGTGAAAAATCAATTTTTTCCCTTGTTTTCTTGATAAACTCTTAGGCCGAGCTGCTTCAGAAACAGTATGTTCTGAGATGTTAGTCTCTTGCGAACTGATTGAGGAATAAATGACTTCTGACATGGCAACTCTTTTATATAGCTTCCACCAGTTTTTCTATGAAATACAATTCCCATTACGTTGATTTAACGTGTAATCGAATTGTTATAGTTTCACCTCTAAAATTTATTAAATCTCCGTCTTGATTAACGATTCTTACTTAAATATTATGTATTTTCTTCACGGCGATTGGAAGGTAAATGACGTGAGATGGAACTTCCACAATCTTATATCCAGCTGGAACAATTGGAAAAAATTCGTGAATTGTGTGTACCTTTTTATTATTTATGTATGCACCAGTAGTAATGTTACATTCAATTCTGATAGCATTTACCTTAAGAATGGCTACTGGTACATCTGACGTATGAGCCTTATTAGCTGTCAGTATTCGTGGAGTAAATCCTAATAATTTACCAATTGAATCGTTTTGTTCAAAACTCACTTCAAGGCTACTTGTTATTTGACTACGTAAAGTATTATTGTTAGGTTTGATTCTTACAATTTCAGATCCATTTTCAATAGAGTTTTGAATATATTATTCAATATCTTCAATTTCATAACTTCCAGGGGGAATAGTAATCACTTTATCACCAATAAAAAATTTATTTTTACCTTGATCAATATTAGGAATTGAATTGAAGGTTAGTAATTCAACTAAGCCAAGTACATAATTTTTGTTAGATAATAATTCTATCGGAGGAAAATATTCTGCCTCCAGGACAGATGAATTGCCTGAGATAGTCAGAGTAAAAGATTCTTCCATGTTGATGGCTTTTTATAAACTGATTAGGTGGAATGACTTACAATCACTTATATAGAATATATTTTTGAGTTATTTCAAGCTGTCCACATAAGAATTTTAGACATAAATGACCACAATTAAAGCTATTATAATCTTGATAATTTTGATGATTATACTGTATTAAAGTATTGTAACCTAAGTAATTGACAAGTTCATAGGGTGGTTGAAGATTACCAAAACTATCAAAGTATACTGCTTTATTATTAACTTTTTTATATGCAACCCAATGAGTTCCAGAACCATCTTTATCATCTAAATTAATAATGGCTGATTCATTTTTTCGAGGACCTCTTATAGGTAGTTCATTTCGCATAAAAACTCCTCGAAAATGGGAAGTTTTTATTTCTTTAGCATATTTAAGTAAATCTAAATCTGTAAGTGCTCGTTGAGGCAGCTTTAAACTTTTTTTTTGTACATCGTCTCTTAATACCTTGTCCTTTAACATATGGTTTCAAATGAAGTCCCAAACCTTGTCGGTATGGTTTTAAATGTAGACCTTTACCAAGTGCCACTGCTTCCAACTCTCTATTGTGACGCTGAGCTTCCTTCAACTGCTCTTTTGCTGCACTTGCATCATTAACAGCTTTTGCTACACCAGCAGCTCCCCCAGTAAGTGCTCCAAGTGCACTTAGCCCAGCAAAAATTGGAATTAATGGTAACAGACCACCAACTTTTGATGGCACAGGTAGAATACGAGGTGTTAAAACTTTTTCTCTACCACCTGCATTTCTTACAGCTTTTCGAGCTGTTTCAATAGCTGACTTTATTGTTGACCGAGCATCATTACCAGGAATTATTGATTTTCTTGCAGCATCCACAATTTTCCTAAGATTTACTCGTTTTTTTTATTTTGTCTTCTTCTTTACTCCCATTCCAAATTTTGATTTTGCTTTCATAGCGTTTGTTATTGCGTAAGCTGCAGCTCTTTCACTATATCGTGCGTCTGAAGCAAATACACGTTGCCACGCTTTGTCAGCTAATACTCTATCAGCAGCGTTTCTTTCTTCAACGTTTTCTTAATTTTTCGAGTAAGCAATATCGTGCTCTTTACAAGCGGTGTCTAATGGATTAACACCTGGATCACCTCGGTGCAGACGTTTTGCTAACTTTGTGCCCGGTCCACAATATTGATAACCCGGCAAATGTAATTCAAATGGCAACTTGTTTATAAGTTTATTAATTAAACCTTTTCCTTGAGAGTGATGATATATAATCATACCTTACTCTGTGAAAGTTAAAATTAGAATGACTTGTGAGCTATATAAGCGCCGTATTTATACCTTTAGCGGCAGTGTAAATCAGGATGCGGTTCAAGGAACAACTTCACAAGCTGCCAGTCGTCAATCTAGACTCGATTGTTGAACAACAAGACAAGAAAGTGAAGCGTCATGGTAGCTTGTTATCAGGTAGTATTCGAGCTATTTTTTGTGGACTATCAAATTGTGGAAAGACAAATGTACTACTTTCTTTAATTTTACATCCTAATGGTCTTAGATTTGATAATATTTACTTGTACTCAAAGTCTCTACATCAACCCAAGTATAAATTCTTGGAACAAGTTGTAAGTAATGTTGAAGGAGTAGAGTATTTACCATTTAGTGAGCATGAAGAAGTCATTACTCCTAAAGATGCAAAACGGAATTCAATATTTATATTTGATGATATTGCTTGCGAGAAGCAAGATAATGTAAGGGCATTCTTTTGCATGGGTAGACATGTTGATGTTGATTCTTTTTATCTTTGTCAAACATATGCCCGCATTCCTAAACATTTGGTACGTGATAATGTTAATTTACTAGTTCTTTTTCTTCAAGATGAGAAAAATTTAAGGCATGTTTATGATGATCATGTTAATACTGACATGACATTTAATCAATTTCAAGAACTATGTGCCACATGTTGGAATTCAGACAAGTATGGATTTGTAGTAATTGATAAGGATTCTGATTTAAATGATGGAAGATATAGAAAAGGATTTGATAGCTTTGTAACACTATAAATATAAGATCATCCCTAAAATATTGTTAGTTCAATATGAAACCTTGTAATAATAACATGTTTCATAAAGAAAAAGAATATCTTCATCAAATTGCTAAAGCTAGCGAGGCAATTAGGCGAAAACATCGTATGTTAAAATTAGGAAAAGAAGAAGCTGAAAGTGTGTTGAATAAAACTTTCAAACCGATAATTCAACACTTACAAAAAATTATCAACTTGACAGACAGTGAACATGAAAATGTCAAGATTGAAAATGTTAAGATTGAAAAGAAAGAGCAGAAGGAGGATGATAGCATAAACTATGAAAGTAAAACTGAAAAATCTCCAGATGATAATAAAATAAGTAATAAATTTCTATACTTATTAAATCATAATAGAAAGCAATGTTTAGATTCAACATACGGCATACGTAAGCTAAGTGATGGATCACTTATGATTGGTGATTCACCAATAACTCTTGAAGATCAGTTTGTTAAAATTGGTGATAAACGATATCTTCAAACACCTGGATTACTTGAACTTTTATTCAAAAGTAAACCTACCAGATCGTTTATAAGTGAAGCTGATGAAATGAACTATAAAGAGATTCTGATTGCTACTAATGCACACAAAAAGAAGTATAGTTCCTCTGAATCTATACGTACAGATAAGAGTTACAAGTATTTGAATTTTATATCTCAATTCTTCCCTCGAACACCTACCAAACAGCCATCCGTAAGCGGTAGTTCATTACCTAAATTTATGATTACAAACAAAAATTTTCAACGAGAATATATCTATTGGGATGATCTAAATGAGTTGGTTGACCGTCTTAGACTATTAATGGCTTCTCAAGCTGTTGGAAATCCTAGTCACAATAATGAAATCATGTCTATCATTGAGGAACTACGTGAAGCTAATTATTAAGATGTGTTTTAGCAAATATCATTCATTTCAACAA